AGGACTTTTGTTCCTTAGATTTCTCCAACAGACAGTTGCTGGTACCCGAGTTCCATGTACTCACGAGCAATCCAATATTTTACTCTATATCTTTACACATTCAGCTCTTGGAGGTTCTTATAGATCTAGGCTAAGCCTAATTATAATAAGAAATGAATGTCAAGTAATTAAACTTTTTAAGATTTGTTAAAAATGAAATACTTAAAATGCCTGAATCAATGATTTAGACTAACGATTTTTTTTATACCTTCCCATTGTTTAGATACAACCAAAAGGAAAGACCTTAGCCTAACTTGAACTTGAAATCGCACTGGTTCCTCTTGAGTTAATGTGTAATAAATTCTGACTTGAGATAAAGATTTATAACTCGAGTTGACTCTGATTCAAGATTAGAATATTAAATAGATTCAAAGCTAAGATATAATTACAAAGTATATTTAAGCTGTTGATTTTTTAGCGCAGTTGAATATGTTCTTTCTTCTTTTTTTAATAATTTTATACTACTAAATCTGAAAAATTATAAACAATTTAAGAATTATAATTTAAATTATCTAAGTAATACCAAAATAAAACCATTTAGAAAAATAAAAATAAGTTCATACCTTTTATTTCCGAAGTGAGAATCCTAAAAGCAAATGCAAAAGAAAAATAAAATAATTTTAAAATATATCTGAAAATATAGGAAAAAAAAAATCTTTCGCTCTGCAACATTAAATAATCGAACCTGAACGAAAAAGAACTTAGAATTCACAAATAAAATTTAGATAATTTCTTTTGAACGATTTCAATACGTATTACTATTAGTAAATACAACTGAAATTTTTTAAAGGAAAAATTTGACGAGATATGTTAGCGGGAGCAATAAATAAAAATAAAAATAAAAAAAGCAAAAAAAAAGTAAATTTATCATCGGGTCAATAATTTAACTTTATTTAATCACGTGTATTATGCAATTTAAATGATTCAAAATTAAATACTATTAACTCCTTATGAGTATTGTCGTTGTGGTTAGTGCTTGAGATTTATAAGATATATAAGCTAGCTGATCCAGGTACGACTCCCATCGTGCAAAATACTGAGTGACTATTTGATGACGAGTTTCAATTTGAGATATAGTTGCAACGAAGATCTCCGAGGCAAGATGTTAATTAGGCACGAAGTATTAACTCAAATTTTTTATTTTATTTTTTACCAAAACTATTATTTACTATATGAAAAAAGTTTTTAAAGCAAGGCTGGAATTTAATAAAAAACAAAATTTAACGAGACACATCGTTATAACATTATTTTTTGTCTATTGCTACCATGTTTTGAATATTAATGAAAATGATTAAAATAAATACTTTGCTAGATTTGTAAATTATTCAAAAAATAAATCTAAAGTTAGTAAAAATCACTGCTCTTGTTATATATAATATAATATTGCCTTGGTTTGAATATACTTTTAAAAAAATAAAAATCAAGTAAAAAAAGCAAAAAAAAATAAAAAAGTAAAATTTATCATCGGGTCCATAATTTAATTTATTTAATCACGTGTATTATGCAATTTAAATGATTCAAAAATTAAATAATATTAACTCCTTATGAGTATTGTCGTTGTGGTTAGTGCTTGAGATTTATAAGATATATAAGCTAGCTGATCCAGGTACGACTCCCATCGTGCAAAATACTGAGTGACTATTTGATGACGAGTTTCAATTTGAGATATAGTTGCAACAGTAGATCTCCGAGGCAAGATGTCAATTAGGCACGAAGTATTAACTCAAATTTTTATTTATTTTTTTTTTTACCAACACTATTATTTATTTATTATTTCTATATGAAAAAAGTTCTTAGCAAGACTGGAAATTTATAAAAAACAAAATTTAACGAGACACATAGTTGTAACATTTTTTTTTTGACTATTGCTACCATGTTTTGAATATATCCGATCCGATACATATGAAACATGATACTTGGCTGGTATATAAAATTAGTTCAGAAAGAAACTGTTGTCTCCTTAACATCAAATGGAATCAAGAAATGGTTATTAACCCCACTACAAAGCGGATGGTGCGTTTACTCCAGCATGCATGATGGCGACTTCATAAAATAAATTACAGAAGAGATTTTGGAAAGTAAAGAATGTCTTATGCTACATACAGAAAGGAAAAAATTGAGAAAACGATCGAACGTGATTTTTTAGGTTCAACTTATTTATAAGATAATTATTTTTATTAATTTTAATTTCTGAAGTATTGCATAGTCTGTAACTCGAACCAGATTGCTTATAGGAAATTATTCGGATTTAACTACGCTCAAAGTCCCTCGGTAAAAAGTATGTACTGTTAGAATTCCCATGGATTTTCCCTTTGGGCGAGCCAATTCATGTTAACTATTGTCGAAGTGTTGCGGTCGTAGCCCCATAAGACTTAAATCCAGGGAATATTTAGGAAATAACTCAGCACGATATTTGCTAACATAATTATAGATTTATAAATTATTTTTAGGTTCGGTTTTTTTTTTGGAGAATTTAACTTATATTTAAATCCTTGATAGGTTTACAAACTTGATTAGTCCTTTGTGTGAAAGAACGGTTCATACTACCTCGAAGCTTTGCATTCGACGCCATACATATAACTCGTATTTTATACTTTTTTTCCGATACAAGAAATGAATTCATACAAATCACGTGTTTGCACGAAAATGTATAGAAAATACAATATTTAAGACGAGAATTAATTTTTTTGATTCGGTCTTTGATATATAGGAAACTATTGTCAATACGATACAACAAATAGTAATTAGCGTTATCAAAAATATCAAAGTTATATAGATATTCGAAAGAAATTATATTCTTCGCCACAAATATTAAATAAAATCAGTTCCTCTCATTGACTGAAGATTCACTTTGTTTTTCATCCGGAAAATTTGAGAACAAGGTATTGAATAAAATGAATTGATGCGGTCATTATTTTAACAACTTATTATGACAGTTATCAATTATATTTACTTTTCTTCATAAACTTGTAAAATTAATTTGCTATACTTCTTAAGTGAATTTACCTTGTATCGTTACGAAATTTATTTAATGATAACTACAAAAATTGAAAATAAAATTTAATTTCCTTTTTGTTATTAAAACATCTTAAACCTCAACTAAAATTTGCAGTTTTCGAGGATTTCGACCCCCCCCCCCAAAATTTAATTATGTAGTCAAAAGTTAGATTATTAAAGATACGGATCAATGTTCCGAGTATAACGGTACTATTTTTTTTTTATCCATAAAACATGTGGATTAGGAATTGGAATCGATCCAAAAAAGTAGAATTGATTTTAGAATCGACTAATTACGATTTAATCGTTTATCAAGTTTCGATCTTTGACGGTAATGATTTGATTTTTTTTGATCACTATTACTATTCCTTCAAAAAAAATAATTTGTTTACCAAAAAAAACTAATTTTTCAAGAAAAAATTAACATTTATCACATTATCACGAATTTGCTAATTTAAATACAATAGAATGAAGTTAAATCATTTCTAATTTCAATTTTATGCATTTACTTTATTTTTTTTTTTTATTTTTATTAATTTTAGGTTCGAGCATATACGAGAAATGTGTTTTTTTTTTAGTTTTATTTTTTCAATTGTTATTTGTTTAAATTTATATTTATTTATGATTTTATAAAATTAATTTAATTAATAATTAGGAGCCTCTTTCTAATAGTATCATTTTCAAAAGTGTGATATGTGTATTCTTTTTTTTTTTTATCATATTGTTATTTTTGGGTGTTTATCCGCGACTTTATTTTCTTGATATTTATGGGGTTTTTTAACTTTATGTAGTATTACGTTTGGGATGGATCGCTTTGGAATTTTTTTTATGCTCTACAGTTACAACAATGGTGGATAGTTTCAAATACGTCTATTTTCAAAATTTCGGTTAATAATTTACATCGATAGGTGATTACAGATTGAACAATTCGGAACAATAGTTTCCACTAAAATGATTTACTTTCTTTCGAATGGTTCTACTCAATTTATGTCCTAACTTTATTAAATAAAAAAATTAAAAGAATCTTAAAAATGAATTTTATTTTAGGTAATTGATTGTATAATAAATTATCGACATATGTAAAGATAAAGCTGTAATTAATTTAAAATTTTTAACTAGTTGCTGAACTTTTATATTAATATAAATTTTACAAGGAGTTGGGATATCTTTAGACACATGCATTGTGCTTTCATTTCAAAAAAAAAAATATTAAATGCAATTTGATGATTGGATTGTTATAAGAAACCAACAATTAAATGTTAACAAAATGGGTAACAAAAAAAATATTATTATCTTACAAAATTTTTGCAGACAGAAGTACTGAACATTGTTTCATACTGGGAATTTTATTTTTTTTTTTATTAAATGATAAGATTTCGTCAGAAATAAAGTTGTAAGAATCCCATTCGAATTTAGAATAACGAGTTTAATAAAAAATTAAGAATTTGATGTTAAATTACATTATTTAATTAGCTTGTCTTGTTTATTACGCGCAGAACTTAATAGCCTAATTTTTTTTCTTTTTGGTATGGCATATCAGTATATTGTGAAATGAGAGAATAAAAAAAAAGAGTTTTTATTTTCTACGCACCTGCGTAAATTGCAGAGTGCATGTAATATATATAAAATTTTAAAAAATTGAATATTTTACGCATTGATAAAAAATCTAACTAAAATTTGCTAAAAATAACAATGCATTTCTGTATGCATCCTACCTAATACATAAAAAAATGATATTTTTATATATTGAAATTTAAAAAGCTAAAAAGGTACTTGCTAACAAAAGATTAAGGATATAATATAATAATATAATATATGCTAAAAAAGAAAATTATAAGCCGGCGACCGAAGCTAGCCGTGCTCGTATCACTACTGTTATTCAAGGTTTGAATTACAGTAGTGATACGATCATCAATTTGCTTTCCTTTTTTTTCTGTTAAGATTTGTTGGATGAGTGTACAATTATGTCCAATATTCTTCCAAATATACTTGTACTAGATTTAAATGCTTCTTCCAAAGGATTTTTGTATCTTGAAACTCCTGAAGGTCTTATTTTAGGACGCCTGATTATGGAATTTCCAAGTTCAGCATTTACTAAATTTTGAGGTTGATTATCGCTCATTTAATTGTAGTAAAAGAAAGAAAATAAACCAGAAGTATACCATTATTTAAATATAACAACGTGATCATGTGAAAGGAAAATTAACGCGATCAATAAAAAACTGGGCATAAAAATATTTTTTATAAATTTTGGTTACCGAAAACAGACATTATTTTTTTTGAATTTAGAACCTTTTTTAAACTATATTTTTTAACTAACATTTTATTTATCCTAAATTCGCCTGATTAATAGCAAATAACTAAATGACAAATAATATAAATGACCATTGATCATCTGTCATTTGGATCGGATTAAACAAATGGTCAATAGGTCATTCATGACTTCTTTTCCAATATGCCAAATTATCTGTCATTTCTTTAAAGTATACTTTATACGTAATGAGATACCTGGAATTCCATATTCAGTTACGGACTTACGAGTAAGTGCATAGAGATATATATTACATTAACTAGATTTGTTGAGACATGAAATTGTTTGAATGCATCCATTTCCAAAATGGCCGTCATGTGCTTTACCTTAACAGATCCGTACTGATAATCCCGGATATCAATAGATTCATCGTGTTTAAAGATCCACGTGAAAAAAAATCTACTAAAGTAAGGCAGCTTAATTATTTGTAACATATTATAGATATTATTTTTACCCTACTCTACAAGTCTATTTGAATGACAAGAAAGGCTTCGAATTTCAATTTTATGTTATTTACGTTTTTTTGTGAAAAATTAAATAAATAAATAAATTTATCCTTTTTAGAAATCTGGAATTTCAATTTGTCCGGAATTAATCTGAGACATTTTCCGGTGGGTACATCGGATATACATTTACGGGTATGCGCGTAAGCGCATGTGAGTAATCACAAACATATATGTCAAAACGCCATACCGATATTATACGACAAGATGTAAATTAAGTATACCAAGCAATTTTAGAATTTATATAAAAGCCATAGAAATTAATAAATAACTTTCAACTTTTTACTAGTCAAAACCTACCGTAGCTCCTTCCAGAAATAATGGGTTTTTTTTTTATCGTATTCAGTAGAAGAGAATTAATAGTTTCACAAAAATAATGTTAATGTTACACAAGAATTAAAAGTTCTTGACATTCTTTATCATAAACCTCAAGACTTTAAAACATTTTCCACAATCGGTTCAGGAGAATATGCTTCGGTTTATGCTGCATATTGGAAAAGTACCCAAACAATACTTGCAATTAAGAAATTTAACGCAAGTTCTACGAAACAAAATATTTTAAATGAGGTTTGATATTACTATAATTTTGCTAACATATTTACATTGTTATTTCGATTAATTGATATATTATATAGATTAAATTAATGGAAATTATAAGAAGAAAAGTTAATTTTCATCCAAATATAATTAAATTTTATGGTGTTATGAATTTAGAAGGTAAAATTATCATTATTTAGTAATTTTACTCTAGTATATTTGTTCACATTTTCCATTAATAATTAGATGAAATAAACTATGCTCTTATTCTTGAATATGCTGATGGTGGAACATTAGGAAATTATTTAAGAGACAACGCCATAAATTTTAAATGGGAAAGTCAATTGAAATTTGCACATGACATTGCGAGTGCAATTTTATGGTTATATGACAATGAAATTATACATTGAGATTTTGTAAGTTAATTAATTATTCCTTTACATTTATTTGATTTTATTAATTATTATTAATTTCATTTTTATTTTAGCATTCCTTTTTAACAAATTAATTTCAACGTAACAAATCATTAACCCATCAACGTGCAATAAAATTTGCAGACTTTGGATGTTCGTGTTTATAAGGATCAAAAACTAAATCAGCACGTGGATGTGGATACTAAATTTTAGATGATCCCTCGTATGACTTAACCAAAAAATCTGATATTTATATTAACTTTCTTAAATTTTTAATTAATTAATTTATATATTTGTAAAGTTGCGTAGTATCAAAATATTTTCAATCCGGACAGCATCGGACAGTATCGGAGGGTTTACAATTTTTTTGAGATTCGCCTCAAACTTTGTTGTTACTGTAAATCATCTGTTTTTATCAGACTTTCCGTTTTTATTTGTAATTATTCTTTTTTTACTACTTTTCGGGTTTGATCATTTCGGAGTTATGAGGGAATTATTTCTTTTTAGTTTCATTCATTTCATGTTTTTAATTATTTTGCTTCGTACATTAGTTTAAAAATTATTCTCTTCGGATGATCAAAACTACACACAGTATTATTTTTTTGTTATTGGGTAGATCTCTAGCTGCGGCGATCAAATAATTTAATTTTTTCTCCCTTTATATCCTTATTCTTAAGGTTTTCTTTCGAGAATTTCAAAAATCATACGCATATGTCTACAACAACGCATTTGAAGTTATTATTTCGATGCTTTACATCTCAAAATAATCTACAGATTTATTCACCCACCAAATTCCAATTTTAATCTCAGGAAGTCTTCAACTACTAATGATAATTTATCAAACTGGCTCCCGCTTAATGTGCTCCATTTTTGAATCCGCCTGAACTTTCTCTTGATTAAGACCGTAATCGGATTAAGATTTTTCAAAGCCGGTATATTTTTTTAGGGAATATAGGGAGTCGGTAAATCTTTGGTCTTGGCCAAATCATATTATCAGGTGTTGGAAAGGCCTTTCTTTGTGTAATACATTTTTGTTGATGCAGTTGTATGACATAAATATTGACCCAAACTTGATTAAAAAAATTTGGAAACCTTTTTTTTTCTTAAATTTATAAAAAAAAAATGTTTAAAGGTTTATTTACTCGAACGAAAAAAAAACCAGAAGTTGGTAAGCATCATTGAAATTCAACTAAAAAGTTATTGAAAAGTAGGACCTGAGACGGTATTTTAACAATTTGTCTTAAAAATACAAAAAATAATTTCCAATCTATAAGAGCCAATTTCGGACATTTCGGACACTAAGATAACTTCTTCAATAGATGAATTAAAAGGTGATCCCGTCATTAATTAATTGTTGATTATTTTCAGTTTATTTTCATTAACAAGTTCAAAAAATTTTTATTTAAAAATAAATATATTAGAGCCAGTTCCTGATGCCCCTACATTGAAAGAATTAAACGGTAAATGATTTTTATATATTTATCAAATCAGCTATAATTATTTAAAAATTAAATTATCTTTTTTAATAAAATTTTAATGATGTTACTAGATTGTAAGTCAATTTTTTATATCATTTTTTAATATATAAATCAAATTAGCTAACTTTTATTTAATGATTATAATTATACAGGGAGTGAGTTATCTGTATATTTTTTTTTGTAGTTGTAATATAATATTAAAAAATTTTTTATTTAACGTTAATGGTTAATTAAATTACTGTAGTTGGTAGGTTATTTTTATTGATAATCTTTATTTATCATTTTTATTTTTGATTCACAAAAAAATTTAATTTAAATATTATAGAACGTAAGTTACATTATTTCTATATATAATTTTTACTATAATTTAAATCATCTTATGTAAATATTTATATATTAATATTATTACAGAAAGTAAGTTACTTTTAATTATAGATCATAAGTTGCTTATTGATTAATACTATAATTTAAAATGAATTAAATTGCTTTATTTAAAAATTATTCATAATATAGATGGTGAGCAACTTCGTTTATTATGAACTACATGCATTTTGTTATAATTTAAATTTAAATAGCTTTTAATTTATAACAATATTAAATGATCTAGATTGTAGGTTTTTTTTTTTATTGATATTTCAACTTAAATTATAATTAATTAATTAATTAATTTAATAATAATAATAGACGTAATTAATCATTTAGATGGTGAGTTATTTTGTTTTTTAACGATTCTTTTAATTTATAACGATAACATTTAAAAAGGTTCATTGATTTAAACTATAAATTGAATTTTTTATCTAATGTTAATATTTTTTTTTTGATTAATTACACTTTATTATACCTAAATTCAATAATGTTTCTTTTAAAAATTTAGATGGTATGTAATTCTTTTTTAAAATAAAATAAGTTATTACAATAGTTTAGTAATTTAAAGTTCAATTTGATTATTTATAGAAACTGATTGTAAGTTTTTATTTTAAATTTATTCAATTTATTTTTATTGAAATTTAACTAAATTTTTAATTAAAAAGTGTTTGATAGTATCGAAGGTAAGTTAGTAAGTTAGTGTTTATTGTTTAGTTTAATTATATTAAATTTTATAATGCTACATTTAAAAATAATTGAAATATTAGATGGTGAGCTATATTTTTTAATTATGCGTTCTTACTATAATTCAACATAATTTAAAATATTATGGTAATAAACTTTTTATGTCTATAAAATTATAATACAATTAAGTATTATTAGAAAATTTTTTTTAATAATTTATATTTTATATTTAATTTATAATACAATACTGATTATATAACTCATGTAACTCATAATTAGAAAAGAAATTTGTTTAAATTGTGATAATACAAATATTAAATTTGAGTGGTGTAAGAAATGCAACGCTTCACAATTTCAACAAAATTTTTCTAAACGAATCTATTAATGCATTTATCCAAGAGACTCAAGTGAATGCTCAAAATAAAAAGCAACTATTAGAATGGATTCCTTATAATAAACTTGAAAATATTGAGTATTTTAATAAAGAAATATATAAAGCCATTTGGTTAGATGGTTTTATTAAATCATATTCATATAAAGAAAAAACTTGGATTAGAAGTGGTAAAATCAATATATTTCTTAAAAATCTTGATAAAACATTAAATATGAATGAACAAATTTTAAATGAGGTATGAAATTAATGATTATTTCTATTAAAAGAATTAATTTTAATTTAATTTTTATTATTTCTAGTGGAAGTATCATTATAAATGTTACATTCAATCAAATAAATATTCATATAAAAATATGATTCAATTGTATGGATTTACTCGAGATCTAAATACTTTGAATTATATGACAATAATGAAATATAGTAATTTAAGAAATGATTTATTAAATATATCTAAAGATAGATGGATTAAAAAATTATTTCAATTATATAATATTATTAGTGATCTTAATGAATTACATCAACAAAATCTTAATCAAGATAATTCTTATTCTGGTAATATTTCAGATTTCAGAAAAAATATTTCAAATATTGATGATATAGGATTATGTAAGCCTGCAAATCAGGACTAATCATTCGAAAGAAATGAAATTTATAGTAATTTACCATTTATTGCACCTGAAATTTTAAGAGAACAACCTTATAATTTAGCTAGTGATATATATAGTTATTCTATGTTTATGTGGGAAATAATATCTGGAATTACTCCATTTAATAATATAGTATATAATAATCAACTAGTTTTAAGTATTTGTAAAGGTAAACGTCCTAATATTAATGATAATATTCCACAATGTTATGAAAGATTAATGAAGAAATGTTGGGATATTAATTCATTAAAAAGACCAACTGCATTAGAAATTAAGAATATTATTGAAAATTGGTATAAAAATATTTTAACTAAAGATTTTGATAAAAAATTTATAAATGAAATTATAGAATTTTATAAAGAAGATAATATTATAAAATTGAAATCAAATATATTACCAGTATCTAGAATAATAAATAATGAACTAATTTCAAATGTTCGTTTAAATTTATTTTCAGATACTACTAAAAATTTAAATAAAATTTCAAATCTAAATATAAATGAAATTCTAAATAAAGAAGATTTTAATGAAACTAATGAAATTTTAGATCAAGTAAATTTGAATGAAATTTATAATCAAGAAATAAATTTTTGTAAATATGAATATTCAGAATTTAGAAATATACATAAAATAGGAGGCATTTTTACAAGAGTTTATTGTGCTAATTGGAAATATGCAAATAATTTTTTCGTCTTAAAATCATTTAATTATTTTAATAATAAAATGATTGAAGAAATTATAAATGAGGTATACTTATATAATTAGTTACATAAAATTTTAATTAGAAGCTTATAATCAAAAAAACTAATTATTAATTTATGTAGCTAAAATTACAACAAAAATTACAATATCATCCAAATATTATACAATTTTATGGAATCACAAGTATAAAAATTGGTAAAAAAAAAAATTTATTAAAGTTTATTATTACAATTGAATTTAATCTCTTAATAATTCAAATATATTTTTTTGATATAGATAATTATAGTAAATACACTTTTGTTTTGGATATGCCAATAGCAATTCATTAAATTCTTATTTAGATAAACATTTTGACAAACTTGATTAGAAAGAAAAATATAAATTAGCATTACAACTTGTAAGTGCTGTATTATATTTGCATGAAAAAAATATAATTCATTGTAATTTGGTAATATATTTATTTTTTATTTGTTTATTTTATTTGTTAATTTAATTAATTACTTTATTTTATAAATTATAGAATGCAGTAAATATATTTATTCATCAAAAGAATATTAAATTATCAAACCTTGGTCTATCAAGAAAAATTAATAGAAATCTGAAAACTTTTGGTCCTTATATAGATCCAAAAAGTTTAAATGACCAAAATTATAAATTAAATAAAAAATCTGATGTTTATAGCATCGGAGTTTTGATGTGGCAAATTTCAAGTGGATATCGACCAATTTTTAATAAAGATGACATTATACAAGGAAAAAGAGAAGAAATTATTCATGATACACCTATTGAATATAGTAGTTTATACACAAGTAAATTATTTTTAATTTTATTTGAAATACAGACTTTTTTATGTAAATTTATTTATTATTTATTTGTATAGAATGTTGGAAGTGTGAGCCAAATGAACGGCCAAATTCAAAGCAAATTGTTAAATTCCTTGATCAATTAAACTCATTCAAAAGTATTATAGATTTTGAAAATGTCCAAAATAATAATCAAAAAGATAATGCATCTAAATGGATAGAAAATGCCTTAGCTAATTAAAAAGTTAAATTTATACCTTTTGACCAATTAGAAAATTCATATTCCCTTATTTTTGGAGGTTTTGGATGTATAATGAAAGCAAATTGGATTAAAACAGGAAATTGCATTGTTTATAAAAGATTAACTAATATCGCATCTATTAAAGGCAATATATTAGATGCTTTTATACATGAATTAAAAATACATTTACATCTTGATTATAGTGAAAGAATTGTTCGTTGCTTGGGTATCAGTAAAGGTAATTTTATGATTAATATATTTAAATAAAAATATGTTTCATTAATTAATAAATTCATTCTTATAGATACAAATGATTATCTTCTTATAATGCAATATGCTAATGATGGCGATCTTCAAATTTATCTTGAAAGGAAATTCCATAGTCTAACTTGGATTAATAAGAAAAAGTTGGCATTTCAAATTGCTGAAGGATTAATCTATTTGCATAATGAAAATATTTTGCATAGGGATCTTGTAAGTGTTAGCTTTTTACTTATTTAATATATCGTTATAATTGAACAAATTATTTAATTATTTTAAATATAGCATTCTAAGAATATAGTTATTCATGATGGTAATGCCAAAATTACGGATTTTGGTATTTCAAAAAATATGAATACAGAAATACTAGTATTAATATCGGAAATTTTGGTAGGATTCAATATGTAGATCCAAAAAAATTTTTAAATCTAGAGTATCAGTATAATAAAGCTTCGGATATTTATAGTTTTGGTGTATTGATGTGGGAAGTTTCTAGTGGAATTACTCCGTTTAAAGATGATATTGATGATCCAGTAGTACTTTCTATTGCTATTGCTAAAGGAGCTCGTGAAGCTACCATAATAAATACTCCTAAAGAATATGAAATACTTTATCAACAATGCTGGGACTCAGAACCTGAAAAACGACCGACTGTTAAAGTAATATTAGAAAAAATTAAAAAAATGATTATTGAAGATCTTCTTCAAACATATTTAGATGCAAATCCTGAAAGAAATCCGACTATTATAGAATTGTTTGAAGTATCTAAAACAATGGGTTTACCTTTTGAAGATCTTTATCAAAGACATTTTGAATCATGTCCTGAGAAAGTGGAAATAAATGTTAATAGTATCTCAGGTATGTATTTTTATTAATACACTTTAATTTAAGTTCAATACTGACTGATTAAATTAATTAAACGGTATACAAAAACAAAATTTACAGAAAATAACAAGTCGATTTCAGAAATGCAAACTGTTGAATTAAATAAAATTTCAGATTCTGATTTATATCGTAAGTTATTTAATTTAAGTTTACATAGTTTTTTTTACAGAAACATAAGCTAATTTATTGTTATTGTATTATTTATATAGTTTCTTAATATTGTTATTTAATATAGATATCAGCAGTAGTATATATTTATACGTTCATACTTTGTTTTCTTGTAATACATTTTATCTTTATATGAAATAAATTTTGTTTCAATAAATTTCAATTAATGCCTTTTATTAAGGTTTTTTGATTTCCCTTCCTTTTTTTGCAATAATAAGAATATACTGTATATGAACGATTGATAAATTGATTGAAAAAACTTTAAAAATGAACTTTGATTGGTCATAACTGATAATCGTTATCACAGTTCAGAGCATCTCTTTAACTTATAAGACATTTCGTACGCATGTTTATAATAATAAAAAATATATGGGTGGTGTGCTATTAAAATTGAGGTACGAGACATAGTAAATCATATGATCCGTACCTCAATTTTAATAGCACACACACCACCCATAGTGGCGTTGATGCTTAAACTTTTATTGAAGATAATACGGGAGAAACTTAATGGGTATAAAGGTCCATATAAAAATTTTTTGCCTGAATATTTGTATTATTTTTCCGTGGCTACTGTAAAAATTCCGTGAAAATGGGACATTTACGGAATTTGTAAATTAAATGAAAATTTCCGTGATTTAAGATTATAAGTTCCGTGAAAATGAGCCATTCACTGAAAATAAAACACGGAATGATTTTTTTATAGGGCGGTTATGTCAGTTATTTCGGTTTCTTTGTAACGATATACTTCACATAATCCTGAATCCGCATCTATACGTCTCTTAAAATAGTTTCATGTGGTTAGCTGGAACATAGAGATTTTTTTGTTGTTAGTAAAACAAACTAATATTTATGCTTGCCAACACATGGAAATAGGATCTCAGATAAGCTCATGCTTACGCAAGATATATCGGCTAGCTTAATTACTATAGTCCATTATATATGCAAAAATGTTTGAAAAGATAATACGGTAATTTGGCAGTTGAAAATCATGCTGATGGATCAAATCAGATTCGTAATATCAACGAGTCGGAGTGGGAGCTACTGAAAGGCGAGTCTAATTATCATTCATGTATCAAACCGACGTGGAAAGTTTGATTAGAATTTATGTATGCAATTAATTATTGAAAAATGACTTCTTATTTGGTGAATTCTAAAGTCACGTGACGACCAATTATTTCGGTCGGTATAGAATTCATTCGCGAACTTTTTTACTGTAAACATGTAGAAGGCTTTTCCAAATTCATATAAACGTTCTAAAAATTATCTGAAAGCAAATGAATTCATGGAGTACAACTCGATTAACTGATCCACTCAATATTGTAAAGCAAATGCTTTCATACGCAAAAAATATTTTTTTTTATTAGTGTTAAAAATATCAAAAACTAGATTACAATCCATTATCAATCGAATTCCTTGGAATTGGACGACAAAAGTCCAATGAATTGAAACAGAACGGGAAGCTTGGAACGATATGCCGTTCACTTACTGCGCCGATCAATTTTCATATTCAATGGTCAAATAATAGTAAAATAAACTATTACATTATGAATTAGACTCCTAGACCAATTTCTTCAAACCACCCCCAAATTTCTTTTTCCTGTAAATTTGCAATTTCTTATTTACGATTTTTCTTACCACCTCCGCTATAGTTTATAGGTCGTGGTGTTCGTGATTTGATGTAATACACGCATCAAAAATATTTTGGTAGAAATTTGCAATTAATAATATAATTTGGTCATAATGCTTGACCAACATTTCTGTTTACAGGCTATATGCTCCTAATATCTTAATGTGACTTATTTCATCATGATGAGATCATGATTATTTCCATCTTCTGCTCATTCGGTATAACATAATCCATTAAATATAATGAAACCTGATTAATCCACAAAATCGACAAGTTTTACGTCGAGATAGTTAACCCAAGTTGAAAAACTATAATGTATCCAATCTTCGAGCACACATCCTGAATATCCTGAATAAGAATCTTAACCATCTTGACATTTCATATAAACCAAAAGTCGATTTCCTGGAATATTCGAAATGGAAAAAATGGTTGTAGCAATGGATGCTGTGCAAGATGTGTTTAAGCTCCAAAGAAGAAATCTGGGAATTGATTTGTGTATATCGTAAAGCTTTACATACATGACCTCTTTGGAATGTACTGATAGACAATTTTTGAATAATATTTGAATAAATAAATTAATTGGATTAAACATTGAGAAATTAAAATCTTAAAATTAATGAATGCGAGACCATCATTGTTTCGTTGTCCTTGTTCCATTTAAGTCTGCGAGTTAAGAAATGAAATGAAGCGAGATATGATGATAGTGCTTGTTATCTTGAATAAAGATGCAAATCATATAAGTTATGACGATGAAACGATTATATTCTTCGAGTGGTTTGCTAGTAAAATATTTACTAATCCATTTTTGTCAACAAAATTTGATCATTAGATAAGAACGGTTATTTTGTCATCATGGTCGTCCGGCTTTGATTGGAAAATTATCGAAAAACTGTTTATGGCCTCCTTTAGGTTGAATATATTCTTCTAAAGATAACCCTAAAGGCTTGCGCTGCGACGGGTTGTTTTCTTTAATATGACAGAAAAGAGTGATGTTAATCATTTGGGGTGAGTGCTGGGAAAAAGGACCAAATCGACAAAAAATTTTTTTTTGAAATAACAAATGATCTGAATCAGATGA